CCAGACCAGTTGGGTCAGACTCTCTCAAGGGACCCACGTCTATTTTCTTTTTAATAATTTTTTAACTTTATTTATTTTAATTTGGTCAGAGACAGACAGAGTGAGAGAGAGGAGGAAAGTGAGAAAGCAAGCCACCAGGTTCAGGATTCAAACCATGGTCAGCCACGTGGGAGTCCTGCGCCCTTACCCACCACACCGCCTGCTGCCCCAGGACCTGCATCTATTTTACCGTCTCCTAGGAGGTTTGTTGGCCAACTTAACACCATCAGTTCAGGAGCCATGGGTCGCATCACCGTGAACGCCCAGCCTCTAGGCTGCTGACTCCTGGATGGGGCAAGGAGGGGTGCTTAGAGCATGGACAACAGTGGCCTGGTCTCACTGTGCACAGTAACTCCGCGACAGTGCCCCTGGGGATGAGTGAAGCAAGTGAAGCTTTTCAGTTTAAAGCATGAGTCAAGGAACACTAGGCCAAGATGAGGGCGGATCAAAGCCGGTTCACCTATGAACGAGCCCCAAGTACTTAACCTGCCGTGTAGCGCTACACCGGGCACCCACGGCGCGCGCCAGTCCCGGGCCGAGGCGAGTCCTGCAGCCCACGCTGGCCAGCAGCGCCCCTTTGGTTGCCGGACTGTGAAGGGCTGGACGTCAGGGTGGGCGCCAGGCGTCGGTAGCAGTGGCTGTTTACTCCCAGGGCAGAACCACTTCATCGGTGCCGGGGCCTGTGCTCGTCCCCAACTGCGCTCTGCCCCTCCGATATCCCGGTCCCTCTGCCTGACACGAGTGCACGCAGGACCCCCCACCGCAAACCCTGCTCCATTCTCCTTTTGGGATTTGGGGCATGCACATGTGCCTGGCATGTTTGTCAAGCCACCAGGTTGGGATTTAAACCGTGTAGTCTGCCATGTAGATCACACCGCCTTAACCACCATGCCACCGGTTGGCCAGCTCTTAGAGCTTTTATTCAACTCAACAGGGGAAGAATGACACTTTGAAGACTTGCTTCTCCTGGGACCAGCAGTTGGCGTAATGGCTATGTCACTGGATTCCCATGTAGTCGACTGTAGCTCGAGTCCTGGACCCGGTGGCTTAAACACATACCGTGCACGCGTCCAAGATCCCAAGAGGAGAATGGAGGAGAAGGGATTGCAACGTGGCCATCCCCTCTGGGGGGAGATTTCCCGCTTTCTGTCTCTCTGTCTCTCTCTCTGTCTTTCTGGCGAGTGCACGCGCCCTATAGCAAAAACCTCTCCAAAAAAAAAAAAAAAAAGACTTGCTCCTCCTAAAACCAGGCATTTCTGCTAGAGCTCAGTGCCCTAAGTCCAGAGCTACAAAATCCTCTCATTTGAGATCAATTTGAGCCAATATGTAAAATTGGGGAAATTTCACATAAAACTCTCAATTCCTGGTCTCTCTTGAAAAGTAGAGCAAACTGGCAAACACCGGACCCCATAACCAAATGGGAAGAAGGGTCGGAGCCAAGCAGTGGCCACTCTTGTTGACTCGTTTGACGACGAATCTGTTCCGAGTGTCTGCCACGGCCAGGCGCTGTTCTAGACAGGGAGGGCACAGGTGCCCCAGCCCTCGCACCTGCTGCGCATGTGCACTTAGCTCCACTGGCTCCGCCTTCTCCCGTTACCTGCTAGGTCTTAAGGCTGTGACTCCCTGGGCTAAACATACAAAGGTCAGGCAGACCACAGTCAGGTAGGCAGTTCCCACGACCCCACCCCTTGCCAGCTCAACCTTGCCGAAGGGAGCGCATCAATGCTAAGTCCCCCCATCCCCAGGAAGTCCCACCCTCAGTGACAGTGCAAGGGGCTCAGGGCTGGTCCCAGGACACCCCACATTCCGTGCCTCTTTCCTGCACGGTGACGGCAGCCTGAAGGCTCTGGGTTTTAGCGAAAGTGTTCATGGGTGGGCAGGTGGTGAGGAGCTGCAGGATGCCATCTTGCTCACACCACCTCTCGGCAGTACGGTGCACAAGGGCTGGGCTGTGGTAAGTCTGATGCAACGTCCCGGGGAAGAGAGAAAAGCAAGCCAGGGGCACTGCCAAAGCCTTCATAGGCCCAGCTGAGCAGAGGACTCGGCAGTGGGCAGGGGAGTGGACGGCGTGTCGGTGATGGCTCAGCCACCGTGTGGGGAATCTGGGAGTGCTCAACGTGGGCACCCAGGCACACCGGTCTAGGAAGTGCTCAGCGTGAGGAGCCGGAACACGGGCGAGGGCAGGTGGGCTCCAGGAACACCTCGGCAGAGGCAGGTCCGGGCGTGCCGGTTCCAAAGCCAGGAAAGGATGAGGTCTACATTCTTAGTGGGAAGGACGGTCGAGCCACCATAAGGCTCAGTGTCCAACAAGAACAGGACCAAGGCAGGGCCCAGCAGGTGGCGTGGGAGCTAAGGGCATGGACTCCCACATGGCCGACTGCGGTTCAGGTCTTGGACCTGGCAGCTTGCTTTCTCACCTTCTTTCTCTCTCATCCTGTCCTTTTCTGGTCAATTAAACTAAATAAATAAAGTTAAAAAAAAAAAAAGAACAGAACAAAGGCAGTTCCTCCGAAAGCTACAGTTACTAGAATCTCACCTCTAGGCATATATCCAAAAGAAATGAAAACAAGGATTCAAGCAAATATTTGTAGCTAATATCCAGCACCAGAGTTCACAACTCCAAAGCCGGAAGCAGCCAAATGTTTGTCAGGAGTGAGTAAATCAGCAGTATGGTACAGGCACACGGTGGAACAGCGTTCTGCCATAAAGAGTTCAGAAGCATTAGGGCCAGCAGACGGTGTGGAGGATGAGGAGGCTGGCTCCCACACGGCCAACTGCACGGTTCAAGTCCCAGAACCGGAAGCTCGAAAAGCACACCAGGCACGTGTGCATGCGTGCCCGAAATCCTGAGAGAAGAGTAGAGGAGTGGTCGTGGTGCGGCCGTCTACCCCGAGGGATGCTTTCTTACTTTCCTTCTCTGTCTCCGGGTGCACCATAAAACAAGCATTATTAATTAATTAATTAAAGAATGAAGTACTAACACGCTACATCAAGGATGAATCTTGGAAACATGAAACCAAGTAAAAGAAGCCAGATACAGATAGGTACATCCACAGAGACAGAAAGCAGATTAGAGGCCGCCCGGGGCAGGGGAAGGGAATGGAAGTGACAGCATAATAGTCAGTCCGTCTCCTTGGGGAGACAGGAACGTTCTGGAACTAGATGGAGTAACAGGAGCATGACACTAGATGTACGAAGTGCTGCTGGACTGCACAGTGCGAAGGCGCGCTCTCTCTCTCTCTCTCTCTCTCTCTGTCTCTCTCTCTCTTTCTCTTTCTGGCTAGAGTATGTGCCCTCTGGCAATGAAAATAATAATAATACTGGGCCAGCCAGATGGTGTGGTGGTTAAGGCAGCCAGATCCCACACGGCTGATTTTATGGTTCAAGTTCCAGACCTGTCAGCTTGGAAAATACGCCTGGTGCATGTGTGTGTGACCAGAATCCTGAGGGGAGAATGGAAGAGAAGGGACTGTGGGGTGGCCATCCCCCTGAGAAGAGGATGATTTCTCACTTTCCCTCTCTGTCTGTCTCTTGTCTCTCTCCTGCAAGCTCACACAGTCTATGAAAAACAAACAAAAATGTAATTTAATTTTTTTGGAGAGGTTTTTGCTATAGGGCACGTGCACTCGCCAGACAGACAGAGAGAGATGGAGAGACAGAAAGTGAGAAATCGGGGCTAGCAGGTGGCATGGTGGTTAAGGCACTGGACATTCCCATGCAGCCAACCACAGTTCAAGTCCCGGACCTGGTGGCTTGCTTGCTCACTTTGCCTCTCCCTTTCTCTGTGTCTCTCTCTAGTCAAACCCAAATGTCAAAAGACAAAAGAATGGACTGAAAAAGTGTGGCACATATACTCCATGGAATACGAGTCAGCCATAAGAAAACAAGACCCTGGCATTGGATAGAACGTGGATGAATATGGAAGATTTACTGCTGAGTGAAGCAAGTCAGGCTATGAAAGTGAGACATTGTATGTCTCCACTTAACATATACCGACTGCCCACACTCTACGGTGGAGACTGAAAGACTGGAGGACACAAAAGCACTGAAAATTGTTGTGGACACTGGGGACAATGTGGAAGGAGAGTGAGAGACGGGAAGAGTGCAGGAAGGGAAACTTGGGGAAAACGGAGAAGTAAGGCATTTGTGTAGGACACAGATATGGTTTGCTGCCTGTTAATGATGTCATGTATAGTATTCTCAGCTCGCCTGATGTGAGGTGTGTGTCATGTCGGGTAAAATCTCTTTACAATCTAAATGATGCAGAGCGATTGAATGTATAAACAATAATAATAAATAAAAGAATGAATAAATTTTTTTATGAAACCTACTTAAGGATTAAAATGAGGATTAAAACAAGCCATTGCATATGAAGTACTTCACGTTGTGTCTGGGTCGTAAAAGTGCCCCACAGATCCGGTTAGTACTGATACCCCACGCCAGGATTACACTGCGCAGCACCAGAAGCCAACTAGGTCTCCTTTTCACACCCCTGATTCCTTAACACCTGATTCCTTAATACCTGGCAAAGAAGTACACAATACACTCAACAGAACTAGTGAAACCTGAGTCTCCATCTTGACAATGCTCTCATCAACAACTGCCTGTTACCGAGGAAGAAGTAAAAATAAAGACCTCTCCAAACGCCAGGTCCTGGTCTGCCTGTCCAGTGACTCTCTCCTCACTGGCTGCAGGAGGCGTACGCTCCAGTCTTGGGGGTTCCTACCACTTGTTTATAGATGTGGCTGGTGACAAGGAGCCAATCAGTGGGTTTTCCTACGAGCCCACTCCAATGCACAGCTTCCAACACAACCCAGGGGACTGTGAGATGGGGGAAAATCTCTCAGAAAATTCTCCCAAGCTATAGAAGTGTTGGCGTCAGTGTCTCAAGCTATGGTCTATCCAACCCCACGTGGCTACTCTGGAATGGTGGCACATGGGAGGAAAAGAGAGAAGACTCCAGCTTTGCGCAGTGGCAGTATCATAGCCAATGAGGTTTATCCGAGGCGTGATTATTGCTAATTGAAAGAGAGAAGACTCCAGACCTGTGGGGCTCACTGTCCTAAACTCTCAGCTTCTAAGTTCGGTGTACCAAATTCAGTCCAATGTAAAGAGCTGGCTGTGAGAGACTCCAGGGCCTGCAATGTAAACTCCCTGAATGATGATGCTAAGATGCTTAACATTTAAGAACAATGAGGCCCTCAGGTGGCCTATGTCCATGGACATGAGAACTCCACTGAGGAAGGCGCACGCTAAGTGAACTATGGAGGAAGGTCTGCCCTCCAGCACGGACAAAGCTGCTGGTCAGACCATCAGCTTCCAGTTCATAAACTCACCACCCACTTCTATCTACTGTTGGTTTTACTTCCTTAAACCAACTCCAAATCTTTATTTGTGTTTTAATCAGATGAAAACTGTGCCCAAGACTATGTTAAAAGAAAATGGATAAAATCAGGAACAAATGGGCCAGCTGATGGTGCGGTAGGTAAGGCAGCTGGATCCCACATAGCCAACCGTGCGGTTTGAGTCCCAGACCTGGCAGCTGTGTGTGTGTGTTCATGCCCAAAATCCTGAGGGAGAAATGGAGAAGGGATTGAGGCATGACCATCCCCCGGGAGATGCTCTCCCACTTTCTCTCTCTGTCTCTGGCAAATGCACAAGCCCTCTGGCAAATTAAAAAGTTTTTCAAAATTTAAATTAAATGTTAAAAAAGCAGGAACCATTAAGGAAAGTGGCTGAGATGCTGTCATTGTTTTTGAAACCTTGTTAGCTACAATGGTGAATTATTAAATGCTTGCTAAGATTTAAAACATACACTGGTGCTGCCTGTGTGCTGGTTGGGCGAGGACCTGGTATCTCTTTTGTGAAGCGGCAGCTGAGGAGACTCCCGCGCTCGCCATGGCCGCCAAGAAGCCCAAGGAAGGAGTCCAGACTGAGAACAACGATCATGTTAATTTGAAGGTGGCGGGGCAGGATGGTTCTGGGGTGCAGTGTAAGATGAAGAGGCACACACTCAGAAAGCTAATGAAAGCCTATTGTGAAGGGCAGTTTGTCAATGAGGCAGATCAGATTTCAGTTTGATGGGCAGCCGATCAACGAAACAGACACACCTGCACAGTTGGAAATGGAGGCTGAAGATACAATGGATGTGTTCCAATAGCAGACAGGTGTCTACTAAACAGGGAACCTGCTACTTTACTCCAGAACTCTGCTCTTACAGACCAGGAATACCTTGTCAACGAGAAAACCGCAACTTGGTTTCACCACATCTGACTACTGCAGTGTAGTTTTCTCTAGTCTTTCATTTTCCCTTCCCCATTCCTTTATTGTCCATAAAGTAACTGGTGTATGTGCACAAGCATAGTGCATTTTTTTTAAACTAAATGGCCAATGGTATGTTTTGATTGACATCAAATGGAGAGGGGATGGGGAAAATACTGGTTCTGTGAAAACACCCCCTTTCTCCATCAGTGGCAGCTCACTCAGCTCTTATCTTTATACTCCAGTAAGTTATTTTGCTCTCACTGTTTAACAAAAAGAACAAACAACAACAACATAAAAATCTTTGCATACCTTGTTTGACTGGAGAATTTTAATGTTTTTCATTTATCATTGTAAAACTAAGGACAATTTTATAACTTTTTTGTATGTAGCTGTTACATGTAGGGCAATCTGACTTTAAGTAGGGGTAAATTACTCTTAAAGAAAAAAAGGAATCCTAGATAGTTTTCCCTTCAAGTCAAGAATCTTCTTGTTTAAATAAACGTTAAAAAAAAATAAAAAGATTTAAAACATACACACACACACAACCACAACATCACAACATTTTGAGGAAGATCTTAGTTTTACATGGTAAGGAACAGGTAAGAGAATGTTGAGTTTTTTTGGTTTTTTTTTTTTGTTTTTGGCGAGGTTTTTTCGCTATAGGGCGCATGTACTCGCCAGACAGACAGAGAGACAGAAAGCGAGAAATCACCCCCCAGGGGGGATGGTCACGCCGCAATCCCTTCTCCTCCATTCTCCTCTCGGGATCTTGGGCACGCATGCACATGCGCCCGGCGTGAGTTTTAAGCCACCGGGTCCGGGACGCGAACCGCAGTTGACTATGTGGGAGTCCAGCGACATATCCATTACGCTAACTGCTGGTTCCCGAGAATGTTGAGTTTAGAAAGAAACGGTCAAACTGTGTTCTAAAGTGGCAGTGCCATTCTGCGCTCCTACCAGGATCAAGAGTTACCGTGGCTCCACATCCTTGCCAGCTGTGTGCTGTCAATATTTTCCATTTTGTTCATTCTAAGAAGTGTGTGTATAGTAACATCTCATTTTTCCCTAGCTTTTTGTTTATTTATTTATTTATTTAATTCATGATAGTGTGTGTGCATGTCCACATGAAGAAAAGGGGAGAGAGAAGTGAGCACCCTCCATGGGGTCTGGTCATGCCGAAAATGCCCTTCCTCTAAACCTCCAGCTTATCACATCTGACCGGGGCTGGGCATTCAGGCATTCGAACTGCCGTTGCTGTAGGACTCCAGCCTGCAGAGAGCATTCCCGCTGCGCCACGGCCGGCCCTCAGGGTTGTTCTAACCTGCCGTTTCCTAACGACGTAAGACGCTGAACACCTTTCTGCACGCTTCCTTGCCTCCTCGTATCTTCTTTAGTGAGATACATGTTCCGTGTTTAGCCCATTTTTTAATGGGGCCCTTTTCTCTTATTGTTGAGTTTTAAGAGTTCTGAGTATATGTTGGAGAACAGCCCTTTATCAGATGTGTCTTTTGCAAATATTTTGTCCCAGCCTGCAGCTTATCTTTCTTTGCGTTCTCTTGTCATTGTCTGTCTCAGAGCAGAAAGAGCAGAAGTGTTTTGTTTTAAATTTGCTAAAAAATGAGAGAGAGAATGGGAAAGTGAGAAAGCACCTCCAGGGAGCGTGACTGCACCACAACCCCTTCTCCTCCATTTTTCCTTTCGGGATTTTGGGCACACACATGCAAGCACCTGGCATATTTTTCAAGCCACTGGGTCCAGGACTTGAACCACAGAGTTGGCCTTATGAGATCCAGCTGCCTTAACTACCATGTGATGGGCTGGCCCCCAGAGCAGAAGCTTCTTATTTTAATTTAGCCCTGCTTATCAACAGTTTCTCATGGATCTTGACTTGCCACTGTCTTAATTACTGGAGCCTGATAGCAAATCTTGAAGTCAAGACAGCGTCAATGCCCTGATTTTGTTCTTCTCTTTCAATACTGCATTGCCTGTCCTGGGCCTCCACCTCTTCATATAAACTTTAGAATCAGTTTGCTGATACCCACAAGTATTACTTGCTGGCATTTTTATTGGAATTGCATTGAATCTAAAAATCAGTAAGAACTGACACCATGACAATACTGAGTTTCCTAACCATGAATACAGAATATGCTTCTCTAGTTCTCTGATTTCTTTCATTGGAGTTTTGTGGTTTTATTCATATAGATCTTATGCATACTTCGTTAGATTTATAGCTAAGTATTTTATTTTAGGGGGTGCTCATGTAAATTGTAACGTGTTTTTCATTTCAAATTCCTCATTTCCACTTATTTACTGCTGGGTATATAGAAAAACAATTGATTTCTATATGCCAATCTTGTACCCTCTGACCCAACTATACCCACTTAGGAGTTCCAAAGCGTTTTTATCAATTCTTTTGAATTTTCTACATGGACTATCATGTCATCCATGACGAGAGACAAATTTATTTCTTCCCTCCTAAACTGTATATGTTTTATTTTTAAAAATCTGCATAACTTTTCTTTTTTTTTTGGTCTTGCTGCATTATGTACATCTTCCAGTACAATATTGAAAATGTTTAAAAGGAGTGGTGAGTGGCTTCCTTGCCATGTTCCTGATCTTAGTGGGAAAGCTTCAAGTTTCCCTTATTTGGTGTGATGGTAGGTATAGCTTCTCCTTTTCAGAGAGATTTTTGCTGTAGGGTGTGTGCATTTGCCAGAGAGATAGAGAGAAACAGAGGAACAGCAAGAAATCACCCCCCAGGGGGATAGCCATGCTGCAATCACTTCTCTATTTTCCTCTCAGGCTTTCAGCCACGCATGCACACGTGCCTGGTGTGAGTTTTAAGCTGCCGGGTCTGGGACTCAAACCACAGTCAACTACGTAGGAGTCCAGCAACATAACCATAATGGTATCTGCTGATCCCAGCTATAAGTTTTTATGGGTATTCTTTATCAAGTTGAGAAAGTTCTCCTCTATTCCTACTTTGTTGAGAATTGTTACCATAAATAGCATTGGGCCTCTTTGTGGTGGCTCGGTCCCTACCAGAAGTTTCTGTATGGGCACCGATCTGTCTGTGACACACTTTGAAATCTAGACAGAGGGAGCCACGTCCCCACAGCTCATGCACTCTGTGCACCTGCAGAATTAGCACACACAGACACTGCCAAGAATGATTTGTAACTTCTGGAGCGTGGGGTTGAGCCACGGTGGCCAAGGAGACCACACGAGCACATGGGAGCAGAGTCTCAAGGTGGCTCTGGGCAGCAAGCCCTTGGAAGGGACACCAGCCTATCTCCAAACCCTGGAACCCCAGAGCTCTGGGGCAGTGATTAGAGAAGCAGCCTTGAAGATCTCTGAAGTGCATTTGGGCTCACTCTCCCATTGTCTTCATGACTAGCACCCTGCTCCCTTCTATAAACGGTCATTCTTCAGCTAAGGGATTCATGGGACACACCCTTGATGCACTTCCCCAAAACATGCCTTTTCACTCTTTACATGACCAGATTGTGAATTTTCTAAAAGTTTCTACTTTGCCTCCCTTTCAATGGTGAAGTATATCTTCAGGTCATTCCTCTCCTCTCGCATTCCTTATGCAGTTAAAAGTAGCGTG